TTTTGTCAGCGTCTTTTGTCAGCGTCCTGTGTGGGCAGACCCACAAAGATGAAGAGTTTGTGATATGAATTATGACCAGGCCCACAGGCCAAGGTATTATTTTATCTCATATTCAGGGAAATCTAACTAAATTAGGTCAAAAAATGATCCAGAATAGGTTTTATTGTCACATAACAATTTGCAACTATTTTTGTATACTTTAAATGGTAATTTATTATTATATCTCTTTAGTTTTTGGCTTTCAAGTCTTTCCTATTTGTCATCACTGAGTTTTGGACTTGGTTTTGACTGCCTGTCGTCTTTCTTGCGGATTACTAAATGCCGCCACAGATTAAACAGACGCCCATATGCGAGTCAATTAGTGCATGTAGGCGCAGAAATTAATTTGTTCGCCGCCAAATGTGACAGAGTTAGCAAAAAAGAAAAACAGAGCGCGAAAAAAAACCCAGCTATGGCCAATCAATTATGGATATAGCCAGATATCAGAGATAAATCGGAGCATAAATATCTCTGGCCTATCCCAAGTTTAAAAGGCTAACGCATAATATTACACTATTTTTTTTTCAATTATATGCAATTTTATTTAATATTTATTGAGAAATATATCTGTGTCGAAAAATCTCGCACGTGAGCCCTATAATTCCCAACTAGTTCTAGCATCCCCGAAACGAAGTGACGGTTGCCAGCCAACTTTTGTGGTGTATATGTGTATGTGCAATTATAAAAGTCTAAGCCTCTTAAAGTCTCATAAAGTGTTTAGTTACTAGATCTCAAAGTAATATCAGGCCATAAAGTGCTATTAATAGCACAGGCAAAGCAAATTAAAATGCAATTATCTATTATTAGTTGCCTTTAAAGTCCAACCCCCTAAATTAATCAAATGATTAAACCCTATTAAACTATTAGAATAGGTCTAGCTAGAACTGGTTGGATTAGATTCAGTTAGGTTTAGGTTAATTAAAGTATGAAAGGTATAGTTTTTAGGTGTCTATAATATATTTGTTTTTAAGATCCTGTTGTTATCCTACTTGGACCTTAATGAACTCAACTCGACCGGTTAATTTGAAGTCATTATGGCTGACGATTTAAGAGATTCTTGGTCTGCATGTTGGGGGTAAACCAATCAAATTGTATGCTGGCCAGGAATTCCATTCCTGTTCATTACAAAGCTCCTTACATAGTTGAGACTGCTTATTGGTGGTGAGATTGGAGTGGCCAAAGTGTATCTGTATCTATGTATCTGCATCTGTATCTGTATCTGAGCGGACAGCGCGGAATGTGCTGGCAATTAAAATGAACTCACGCTGGCAACCCTGACAAAAACGTGCCGCCATCGCCGCCGTCGACCAACTGCAACTGCAACAGTGCAAATAGCTCAGCAACAGCAGCAGCAGCAGCAGCAGCAGTGGCTGTGGCAGTTGCACCGCGGCGTTGAAATCAAAAGTGATACAGATAGACCAGCATCCGAGCTCCAAAGTTAAAGCCACTATACACCAAAAGCGCGCACATTGATTAAGTTTCGATATTTGTGCACTGAACCGAGTTGAACTAAAACCAAGACACTTGCGCACGCGCAGCAAATTTGTTGCCTGAGTGTGCCTGCTGTGTGAGTTTTAGACCGACCTGGAAACGCCCTACTTGGTCAGGGATGAATCTATATTTATATTCAGTTTAATTATTCCAATCATGATATAGCTGCGAGATTTGTTTGCCAAGATGTTAGCATACTTTTTGCGGTTGAATAGAATAGAGCTCGATTCAGTTTTCATTTAAAATTGAGATACCAAAGCAATAGCACCAAAATATATCTCAAATAACAAGTTGGAATTTGCATAGTTATTAAATTATTCTTCAAATTTAAGAAGATTTTTTCATAAGTCTGTTATATCCTTAATTTCAGTCAGAAGCTAAAAACTCAGGGAAGGAGTCATTTCCAACCCCATAAATCATATATATTCTTGATCAGCATTGAAAACTGAGTCGATCTAACCTTGTTTTGAGGAAAATTTTTTTTGAAATTTTTTCAAAATTTTGTAAGGGGTTACATCGTTAAAATTTTCAAAAATTGGCCAAATTTAAAATTTTTAAATTTAGTATGCAGATTTGTTCACCTATTAAAAACTAGCACAGGACAGCTTTCCGAATTGAAATTAATGTATTTTTAGCTTAGTTATGATATTTTTAAACTTTGATTTTCCTAAAGAAATTTCACATAGAAATATCCATTTAAAGTTTTTGGAATTAATATTATCTGGGTCCTCTGGGTGATATTTGACGAAGAAGAAGTTATTTTTTAAATTGCTTTGCTATATTTTTTAAACTAATTATATTTAAATTGGATTTAACTTATTCTTTAATATCTATAAGACTCAAAAACGTTAAAAGGGTACTCAAAAGTTTACCTAAATACTGCCTTTAGCTACCTATTAATAGCCTTCTGTTCTGGCTAAACATTTTAATTTAAGCACTGGCCAATTTAATTTCATAACAAAGTCATAACTTGATCGAGGGGCGTTGGATGGACTGCTACTGTCTGTGTATGTGTATAGTTATTGTTTCGATTGTTTATCTAATTGCTAATTTGATCGACATGCCAATGATCAGCCAGCCGGCCAGATGATTGTTCGTATCTCGGGCCTCCTTCCCACCGCACCCGTTGCCGATCAATCAATGCCGTCAATCATGTCCGAGCTAGTCAACATTGGAGCTTGAGAGCCAGAGGCTCGAGAGCCGGAGACTGGAGGCTGGAGAGATGTGGACAGGCCCCTGACATGCTGGGTACACAGCATTAGAGTTGTTAATGCCAGCAATTAGCTACCTCAGAGTGTAGCGAACCCGTTGAACCCCATTGAGAGGTGCCCCTTTTGACCAAACAATTATCACGGAGCCTGGCGTCTGCCACTCTGGACAAGAGAGAGCGAGGTCTTCAGTTGGACACTTGAACTTGTCAGTGGATTCATCTTTGGACTGTGTGTGTTTGCCCAACACTTCAAACGGCGATGATGGGGTTATTGGAATTCCTGTGTGTCAGAGCTTTCTTTGGAAGAGTTAATTAATTTAAATGCAGCAAGAAGAGTTGTTGCTTATTGTGCCGGCTAGCCTTATCCATAAGTGTCCAAGTTTGGCTATCTATATCTGGCCGCAACGATTAGAACTATCAAGACTTCGAGTAGCGCCACAAACACTTTCCAACTCGGACACTATTATGTAATGTATTGGAGGTGCCGATGCCCGGACATAATATTATAATTTACTGCCCACTTTTAGAGCGACGCTTAACGCTTTACGATATCCGATTATGGCTGGGCAATTAAGTGGTGGAAATCATCGAACAGAACGAACGGTGAGCATTTGTCAATTTATTGCAGTTATAAAAATAAAACGTAAAGTAAACAGTGAATAAAAATTAAAAACCACATCTGGAGACAATCTCGCCTGTCACTTGGACACAACACATACAAATTGGTTAATTAAAAATGGCACTTTGATTGCGATTACGATTAGCATTTGCTAAATACTTAAGCACGTCCCAAAACGAATCGAGGCGAAACAAGTTCTCCCCAAAACAACAAAATCATTGCCTTCTATTTATAGTGCTTCCTTTCCTCTATGCTCTACACCAAGTGTTTTCATAACTCATTGTTCCAATTCGTATTGCTCATTATTCGCGTGACAGGGCAAAAGACGACGCTGTCAGATGTCGCACACATGCTGCGACGATGAGAGATGAAAGCCAAGACAAGTCCAGAGCGTTCTGCAGCTATATAATAATGTGCCGATCGATCGATTTCGTTTTCGATTTCGATTTCCATTTCTATTTTAAGTTTAAAATCGAATTCGTTGTATAGCGGAAATGCTGAAAATTTGAGTGGGGTTTATACAAGAAAATAGCTTCAAAGAGATCTAGCAAAAAAAGGTTCAACACTTGTGCCTTCAGTTTATTTTAGTTTTCAGTTTTATTTTATTTAAATATGAAATTAAATTTGGTAGATGCCGGAAAAAGTACACATGAGATAAATAATACTAAAATAATAAATAATAAAATTAAATTAATTACCAAACAGAGACGCCACTCTCTCTAAATATGTCTGGAACGTAAAGCCCCTTTAATTCCCTATAAATATATCTAAAGATTATTAAATTGATATTGTCTATATTCATAGACCTTCTGGGGATAGTTTCCCGGAACTAAATATCGCAAATAAATTTATAAATATTTACGTAGATACAAATGACATTAGATCGCAAAGGGGTAAACAAATCAGTGCAGCCACTTTTGACTTGAGTTTGATAATAAAAATTGGCCAGGAGGGGAAGAAAGGGGGCCTGGGTTAATCAGCTCTCGAGTGGTGCTGATAAAAAGGCAAGTGCACATGCAATGTACTAACTATATATCAAGTTCTACCTAGATTTTAAATCGGACAAAGGGCATACATATATACGACTTGAGCACGAAAGTCAAGTTGGGAAAATTATCTTGAAGTATATTTAGTAAGTTTCTGGTGTATACTTAATCGTATATATAGTAGTTATAGAGCTTATAGAAAACTCTCAGCTCTCTGTTACTTTTTAAAGGCATTTTGCGGGGGGTCAGGAAACTTGGCTACGTTAACGGCCATTGATAAGACGAGAAGATAGATAAGGCAAGAGGCCTGGGAAACGCTCATTCTGACGTGAGTCGCACAATCTACATATATATATATATATACATACATATATATATTTGTGAAAAAGACGACCGACTTATTATAATTATCAATGATGTCTCCCGACAGTCGCTGTTGGCTTTGTTTACGCTCTGCGACACAGAAGAAAACCTTTTATCGATTTGGCAAAGAGTGATGTCATGGGGGCATATGTAAGATAGATAGAAAATGTGTTAAATGGGAGAGAAATTGTTAGCCAGCCAAGGGATGCCAGCAGAATCCAAGGGATTTTCCTGTTTCTTTAATATATTTTATGATATTCCTAATTCCAAGTGTTTTGTTTTTTAATTTCAGTAATTGGAGGAGTCCTACCTCTCGCTCCCAGAGACCGCAAATGTCGTAAACATTGGACTAAAGGGGACATTGGATTCTAAGCACAACACATTCGTGGGACAGTTACCGCATAGAGCTTCCTGGGTAAGTTGGGTTTTTAAGGTCCTTGACATAAAGGAGTCCTGGGATAAGTGGCTGTTGTTGTTGGCAAGCCGCCAAAGGGTCATCAGCACCGCGAGCTTATAATGGTTTAAGTCTAATGCCGCCTGGTGGAAAAGAGGAAGGTGTAGCATGTGTCCTGCTAAACAGGAGCAGGTGCTCCTGTGTGTGTGTGTGTGTGTCTGTGTATGGCCAGGAGGAAAGGACTGCAATGACGGCCGCTTCCTGTATGCGTGGGTCGCTGCACCCAAGACAACTGCAATTCATTTGGTTCATGTCTAGTTCAACAAACCCACAAGTTGCCCGGTCTTGTCTTTTGTCCTCGCGGTAGTCCTGTGCGAATGTACCTGTATTCTATATCTTCCATATACATATATATACGTACATTTATATATAAGTTAAGCAGATGCCATACCAAATTGGCGGCCACAGCTGCTGTCCAAATGGCCAGACTCCTCTTAGCTCTTAGCTGTTTCCTTTGCAACATTCAAGTTCAAGAACCAGGACGAAGGCAGCCAAAACGTCAACTTTGCCAATTTCTTTTTCATCGCGTCCTTCCGGCCGTCTTCCTTCAGGCTCAAAGCAACAACAGAACAAACGGAAAACAGCCAAGAGCAAAAACAGAGAATGAAAACAAATGGCGAAAAGTCCTTTTTGAGCATTTCATGGTTTGGACGTTGATTTTTTATTCGTCCGGATTTTATATCACATACCGTTTAGATCAAGGGTATATGCAGTTTAAGAACATTTTAGGACTTTTCGAACATATAAAGTACTAAAATTATGGGTCATAATATAATAATAAATCCGAAATGGGCCAAAAAACTAATTTCTAATATTACTCAGAACCAATATAAACTTTTTTTTAATAACCTATAATGCTTCTTTAACCGAAATCTAACAGAATTATAATTTTTGTATATTTATATTTATTTAATTATTAATGCTGCATATATATGTTTAATTAAAAGTAAAGCAAGCAGAGGGTTTTAAGTATCTCTTAGTCGAATCTTTCTTTTCTTTTCCTTTTTTAAATGCTGTAAAGTCCAAGTCATTGATAATAGGAAATATTATTTTCTTTTGCTGTCGGCACTTTGTTTCATTTGTTTACCTTTTATTTTAATGATTTGTTTTTGCTTAGCTTGCTGTTATTTAAAAATCCACACTTTAAGTGTTATGATGGGTATTAAATGTATGTTTTAAGGGATATTTAGGGAAGAGGAGGCATCAAATTGCAATCTACTTAAAGTAAACAATACAATAAAATATTAAACAAAAAACAAAAGAAAGAATTCCATATATATATATTGATTTTATTTATTTTATATTATATGTAAACATTATTTTTACAGGAACTGGATTTCTATAATATTCCATCTCTGAGATCTCTCAACTCACAAATTAATATTTAAATATTTAAAAGTAAGCTTTAGATTCAATAACAGTTATAGTTCGTTAAATTAATGCAATTCTTTATTCAAAAATAATTGAATTTTAACTCTGATTCGTGATTCAATGGAAAAATTCCAGCAAAGAATTTTGATAACATTTTACCTGAGCGAGCACATTGCATTGGCCTGCCTGGTGGCCCCCCTGCTCGGTTTCGTTTTTCGTTTTTCTGTTCAAACATTTAATATTCATAATGGGCACTCACTCACTCACTCACTCACTCACTGACTGACGCAGACCCCATACCGAATATTTCGAATATACCGGGTATCTCTGGGTGTTTGAATGCCATTGGGGGTCGGGTAATTATGGATTTTGGATACGGTTTAGGTTTCGGTTTCGCTTGAGCTTTGGGTTCTATTTCTGTATTCTTATTTTTGTTGTATTTTCTGTTATTTTGTTATGTTTGCGTGCCCTGCATTGGCAGGAGCAGTCAAGGTTCACCTATTGTGCAATATAATCCGGCTAATTGGTTGCAGTTTAATAGCCAAGATTACTGATAATCACCAGATGAGAAGTCCCCCGATATAGCATCTTGGGGTAAATGATAGTTGTTAGCGTTTCTTGATTCGTCTCGATTTAATTTTTTATTTATCGTTAAGTTCGGGGGAAAATATAAAGAGAGGGAGGAGTCTTGAAAACGATGCATATGGAAGGCAGAATTTGTTTTTCTGTGCCGGATGCTTTTTGAGTGATCTCCGATCATGGCGATCATGCAACTTCCGGTTGCAATAAAAAGCCATCAATTGTGCTTTTACGTACTCTGAGGCAAAGTAATTATGCAAAATGATGATGATGATGATGCTGATGATGTCATTATCTACAAATGAGTATGGCAGAGATTATTTCTAAGATATTTATTTGCTTAGGCAGTTTTTTCTATGAAATTTGATTTATATTTACAAGAAAATTGGGTAGAAAGATCTTTTTAATTTAAAATATATCAAAATACCACATGTGATAAAATAATAAACTAAACAAAGAGTAAAATATATACAATTAACTGAAGCATAAAATAAACAAAGAGCCCACGAAATCTTGGATGTGTCTGGGAGAACGTTTGCTTCTTCATGGTTTCTTCTGTTTTTTACCTGAATAATTGGAATAATTTTCCCCCCTTTGATGGCATTGGGAACTTGGAAACTTGAAAATTTGGAAATTGGACTGGTGTGACTATGGAGCTTTGGGTGTCCAAATGTCCAAGTGTCTGTCTGTCACCTACTAAATACTACCACACACACCAGACAGGCAACAAACCGTTGGCCAGGCCATAATGTGGCATTGTTTTCAATGCTTACCGTCAGTCTCGTGTCTAATTAGAAATATCTTGAAAATAGGCAAAAATTTCGATTGCATAAAATATGTATGTAAGAAACGAGCTTCGTGCTCGGGGAAAATCGAAAAAATTCTATAAGCTAGTGCCTGTGAAGCATTCATTTTCCGGTTGTTGGTGGAATACTTATTGTATCATAAATTTATTATATATGCCAGCCATCCATCCATCCATTCTATCGAGAGGCCTGTTTCGTTCCGTTCCGAATATAATTCAGCCGTGCAGGAGCACACCCTTTGGCAGTATTTTTATTCGGAACACAGAGCAAAGGGATGCATTCACACACGATTAACCCGTTTGGGGGTCTGCTGCTCCGCCAGATCGTTTGTCGTTCAATCAACTAGCATTATAGGGGGGGAATGGGTTAAAAATACATTTTTTCTTTTATTGATTTTGTTGTGTGCGATGGCCTTTCGGGGTAATTTGCATGGTGCCCTTGCCTTGCTTTGTGCTTTGCCAATCGCTCAAACCTCTTTCTCTCTGTGTCTCCGTCTCTCCTCCTCTAAGTCCTACTTGGCCACTAACGCCTCCAATGCCTCCAATGCCTCCATAGTCTCCTCCTCTGCCATCTGCTCCCTCTCTCAGCACATTCATTGCGGATGCAAAGCCACGTCCCAGCCAGTCAGCCAGCCAAGCGATTCCGTCGTCAGTCCTAGGTTTTTTCTTTACATATTGTATGTATGCTCGTTGCGTTTCTGAATTTCTCACTTTGTGCTTGGCGTTTAATTAGGCGCAAAACAAATGCCATAAGAGCTGGCTAAAAATCAAGGAGTTCGCAGAAAAATCTATCAAATGCCACTACGCTTTGAATCTAATATGGAGTGGCATAGCCCCACTTTAAAACTTTGAAATTGGAATAAAAGAGATGAACAAACGTTTGTATAAAAGGGTTGAGGGAAGTCTATACATACTTACTAAAAATTTATAAAGCCACCCAAAGTTGCTTCTTTCTTTAGTCTATTTTTTTTATACCAACAATTTGTTTTTGTTCTACCCTTAAAAGGGTATTTTAAATATGGTCAGAAGCTTAAAAGATAGTGAAGGAGTCATTTCCGACCCTATAAATCATATATATTCTTGATCAGCGTCAACAGCCGAGTCGATCTAGGCATCTCAGGCAGAAAAAAATTTTTGCCAATTTTTTGAAAATTTTATAAGGGGTTAGATCATTAAAATTGTTAAAAATTGACAAAATTGTGATTTTTTTAACTTTGTAAACTGAGTATGCAGTTTTGTTAACCTGTTAAAAACTAGCACAGAACAGCTTTTCGAATTAAAATTCATGAATATTTAGCTTAGTTATGAAATTTTAAAACTGTTATTTTTTTCAAAAATTGTCATATAAAAATATCACTAAATATCGGTTCAAAAATGGTATTTCAATTTTAGTCAGATGCTTGTAACTCATTAAGGAGTCATTTCTGATCCTATAAATCATATATATTCTTGATCAGAATGAAAAGCAGAATCGATCTATATATGTTTAGCGAAAAAAAAATTTTTGAAATTTTTTGTTCAAAATTTGTCATTAAATTTGATATTGTCAAGTGGTCAAAAATTGACAATTTTTAAATGTAGTAAAACTTAAAATATAAATATGCAGGTTTGTTAACCATGTAAAAACTAGCTCAAAACAGATTTCAGAATTGAAATTAATGCATTTTTAACTTAGTTATGACATTTTAAAACTGTGATTTTTCTCAAAAAATGTCATATATAATTATTGATAAATATTAATTCAAAGAATGCGAATATATTAAGCTTACTTATGATTAATTTCCATTGTGATCCTCTAAATCAAATGGAACCTGCAAGGGAAAATTAAATTTGAGCTCCCGAACTTTGTTTGCCTTTCTATATTTCGTTTGGATGCAGGTGAAGTGGGTTTTCCCTGAAGTCTGACTGTGCTTTTTGGGTTTTCTAGGTGTTTTCCAATAGAGAGGGGGCTGTTATCTCTGCTGCGTACCCAGGTAGATTCTGCTCCGGTTTGTTGGCTCAGCACACCGCTTGTTGTTTACACGGGGCTCCATCAATGCAGTGCAATGCACTGCCAGCTGATACAATAATGCCCTTCACCAGCTATATACTCTATAAGCAGATATATAAATATACATATAAATAAATATTTTATATATGTTCATGTACACACCAGCCCAGAGATCCCCACGTGGTTCTAAGGGAAACATGACTTTTATTGGCATTG